CGCCCCCGCCCTGCCCCCGGCACCTTCTTGTCCTGCTGGCTGATGTTGTCCAGGCTCAGGGAGGCCAGGTGGTTCTTGGCGCCCACGAAGAGCCGGCCCCGCTCCTCGTCCAGGAGCAGCACCTCGTAGCAGCAGGAGCGCTCCAGCCCGTAGGTGTGCAGCCCGTGGCGGGCTTTTAGCTCTGCGGGGAGAGGGGGGAGATGGGGCTGGAGTCAGGCCAGCTCCTCCCAGGGGAGGGAATGCAAAGACCCCAGGCCTGGGTTGGCAACGGCATCTGGGCTCCTCTGGGGCTGGGCCATGTGGTTAAAGACACACGCTGCCCTTCCCAGTGCTGGGGGCGGTGGGGCCCCCCCCCATGAGCGGGCGTCGGTTGCCTGCCCCCGCCGCTCAGGCCTTGGCCCGGGTGCCTTTGCCGGCAGTTTCAGAGAGAGCTCGGGGCCCGATCTTCCAGAGCCCGCCGGTCAGCCTGTGGCAACAGTGAAAGGGCTGCAGCGTGGCCGGGGCAGCTGCCTTGGGACCCCATGTGGTAGGGCTACACTGCTTTTAGCCCTGTGAGCCCGAGCCAGCTGGTCTGGGCTCCAAGATCCATGGCTGCCAGTTATCACAGTGCAGACGTGCCCAGAGACCCTGTCACCAGTGGGAAAGAACCCAGGTGTTCTGGCTCCCAGCTCTACCCACTAGACACCACTGACCTCCCAGAGCCAGGAATAGAACCCATGAATAGAACCCTGGCTCCCCAACCTCTGCCCTACCCACTAGACACCACTGACCTCCTGGAGCCAGGAATGGAACCCATGTATAGAACCCTGGCTCCCCGCCCTCTGCTCTACCCACTAGACACCACTAACCTCCCGGAGCCAGGAATAGAACCCACGTATAGAACCCTGGCTCCCAGCCCCCTGCTCCACCCACTGGCAAATTGCTCTTAGGAGTGAAAGGAGACGCTGTGGGTGCCCAATAGGGCTGCTATCCCCCAAAGTTCTGGGGACTCCAATGAGATCGGAGGTGTCACCCCGGTTTCTGGTGCTTTTCCGACGCTAACAACAGGGAGGGAGACCCCAGAAGAAAGACTCATGTGGTTGTGCAGAAGCCAGCCCAGCCCTTTGCAACGAGCACTGTGCTGCTCCAGGGCCCAGAGCAGGTGGGGGGGCCAACAGGCAGCACCCACTGACTGGCAAAGAACTTGGGGGCTCTGCTCCCCGGGATTGAACACTAACCCCCAGCCTTGCCAGCCATCCGTGCACTGCCAGAGGGCACCGCAGTCACAGCACGGTGGCCCTCACACCCCCAGGATTTCTATTGGTTTCTCCCGGTGTGCGAGCAAGGTTGGAGTCTTGGGAAGACATGCGCTGTGGCCACGCGGGATCCTGTGCAGAGGCAGCAGGAGCTGAGAAGGGGCTGTGGGAGCCGGGAGCGAGGGGGCTGGGTCTGCCTTGTGCTGCCGAGCGGCCTGGGGGAAGGGCCGGCCCTGCATGCTGCCAGCCCATCTCCATCCAAGGGCCGGGTCACGTGCACACACTGGTCCCCCTGACAATGCACCCGGACACCGTGTCACTCGGGTCTCCTGCACTAGGAAGGTGACGCCTCTCCCAGAGCTGGGGGGAGAACCCAGGAGTCCTGACTCCCAGCTGCCCTGCTCTGACCACTAAACCCCAGGTCCCTCCCAATGCCAGGGATAGAACCCGGGAGTCCTCCCAGCTGTCCACCCTAACCACTGCACCTCACTGCCTTTCGAGAGGGCAGACTCGTTAACACTCACGCCAGCGGCACCTTGAGAGTTAACGTTTCTCATTTCGCCCCCCCCCCATTCTCCATAGGATCTCACACCATGTCCCAGGCTGTGCATGGCTCTGGCACCCCGCGGCAGGCAGCGCCCGCAGCTCCAGAACCGCTTAGCCCGCACTGGAGGCAATGCTGAAGAAGTTAATACCGAGGCTGGAACCCAGGGCTCCGGAGGACAGGGCCAGGCCAGCGATCCCCCGCCAGGGAAGGCAGAGGCTGTGGAATTAGCCCTGGCTCCGGTCCCGGTTCCAGCAAAGGCTCCTGCAGAAGGAATTAACCCTTCGGGGCAAGGTGCCCCACAAGCGACGCTTCCTGCGTCAGGGTTCCCGTGGGCCACGGCTCTGCCAGCAACAGGCACCTGGGCACAGTGCTGTGCCTTAGGGGAGCGGTGAGAGCTCCACTGTGCCAGACTAATCCACATAGGCAGGGGAGGGGAAACTGAGGCACTGAGCAGGGGGGGGCGTTTCTGGCTCTGAATATATTAGGCACCCCGGAGCACACAGCCCCTGGGTCCCAGGGGTGCCAGTCAGCTCCTCCAGGTCCCTGTTCAACCTGCCCTGGCTGGGGCAACCTAGGAGCTGGGCAGAGGGTGCATGGAGGTACGGGGGGCGCCCAGGGACTGCTGCTTCCCTCCGGCCCGCCTCTCCCCACCAGTTCAGTAGCAGTGGCAGCACCACAGGTGGCTCCCCAGAGAAAAGGCCCTTTCTCTGCCCCATGGCGCCGGCTCTGCTCCCTGCCCGCAGCGGGAACAAATGGGCCATTGTGGGGAGAAGGGGGAGCCCAGCCCGCAAGGCCAGAGCTCAGCCAGGTCTTTGCACCCTGCAGCCCCTCCCCCGCAGTGCCAGCACATCCCCCTCTGCCCTCTCCCTCACTGA